TATTCAAAATGAAAGGTATTATGTAATTGATCTTCTGGGCATAATACTATTGAACTGAAATTTAGTTTGGGAAAAAGGAAAAAACTTTTATTCCAATCACGTCAAAAAAGTAGTATTGATAACAGACATGATATTTTTTTTAATGTACGCATGCAACTGTCATAAAAAAATGAGTAATATCATAATCAACGCTAACAGAATAAAGGCATTTTATTTCGGATGTTTCTTTTTATGTTTTTTGTTACGCGATAAAAATAAATATTTTCTAGCGTTTTTATTGACTACAAAGAAAATTGAAAGCTGTTAATTTCCGTGATACGTCTGATGTAAATTGAAATGGATTCACATGACACAACTCTACCATCATTCGAAAAAAAAAAAAACGATTCCAGCGTACGTACTATACAGTTGACTACATGTTATTTATGTGGTTGCACGTTTGTGTATGTGCAAGTGTAGCAAAAAAACATCAAATTCTTGCACCACTGCTCGCGGGACCATAATATGTGCGATTTAAAGTACAAACGATATACTCACTCAATAAACCGGAAATTGGATTGGTGTTGTATCAAGCTAGAAATTCTGCGTTGAAATTGAATTGACATCGCTTCGAGTGGGGCAAAAATGATACATCGAATGTTCTCTACACGACTGCATCGATTTTTTCAAGTAGTGTTTTCAAAAGCGTTCGATCAATTAATCTGCTTTTCAGCCGATGTTTTACTATTTTAAAGCAAGTCCTTAGGGGCTTTTAAATAGAACACATTTACATCTTTTTTAAATGAATAGTACGAATGAACATTGTTAAATTAAATTTTGTCTCTGAATATTCAGCTGTTTTTATTTAAATATTAAACATCAATCAAATATTTATTCAAAAAAATTAAATATTAAGCATTTAATTTAATCAAAATTTTTTAACGAACTCAATGATTTTATGCATCTTGTTAAAAATCACTAAACAAATACATGCGCTCAAAGAGCAGCTTATTCAAATACATCACATAGCTTTAAGCCCTGCATGTACACAGGATATTTAAAAGAAAAGCCCCGGAGAGCTTTCATTACTCCAAACGAGTATTAATCTCGAAAGCTCAAATGCTTCACCTTCAGCAGCTAGTCGCTTTAAAAAGAAAATCTACATTTTCTGCGGCAAAAGATTTATTCATAATTATCCAGCCAGGAAAGGAAAAGAGGCGGCAGTCGCACGGAGTGCACGTGACAACGAAATAAGGGTAAAAGTCTTTCTGAGAATAGCGAATTATTCCCAAAAAGCTCGTACGGCTTCAGCGGAGTCTATTTATGCGTATGGTAAGGAGTTGCACAAGCTGGCGCGCGTTCCTACACATTTCTCAGATATTTTTCGCTTCACTGCGCACGTGGACATGTGCGGATACGTGCATAAAGTGTCTGCGTGTGTTTCAGCTATCTCCGTGCAAATATTTGCATTTTTAGAGAAAAATAGCTAGAGTAAGCGTAGCCGTGCTCATTGCCAGCATCAAGAAAAATGAAAAAGCTGTTTCTTGATACGTTGGGGTACGTGCTTGGACTACGATCGTGGCAAGGAGAAAGATGCAAAAGGAAAAGAGCGAGAGCCGAGGATTAGGCAAAAGTTTTCGCGCATAATTTATCAAGGTGCCAGTAGTCGGTGGTTAGCTTGCTGCTAGCTGCTGTGGGCACAAACTTCAATATAACTTTGCCAAATGCGTAATCTAATAACGTCGGGAATAGGCAATACGAGCACTAGCATTGCAACACCACAATTAAAAGAGATCAGAAGAAGGAAAAAAGAATTATGTTTGTGGATATTTTTTTCGAGTCAGTGAAATTGCATGGAATTGTAAAAGAGAAAGAGAGAGAGAGAGAAATCATTTATTTTGGCTAAAGACATAGAGCCCTATATAGCCACAGCACAATTACAGAAGTATATACATCAATCGTCAAGACTCGCAGAGAGAAAGCTCTCGTACGAGGAAACATCGCATCACAATATAAAATAAAGCATAACAAAATAAAATAAAAATAAAAATAAAAATATAACATAAAAGACAACAAAAGATAAGTCAACAAACAAATTACAGGTTATGCAGATAAAAAAAACTCGCGCAAAGCCCTCCCGAAACAAGAACCGCGATACAATAGTCGCAGGCCCTGTGGTAGTGCATTCCACAATTGAACGGCGTGAATGTAAAATGAGTGCTCAAAGCAGCGGGTCCGTATCACGTCGGGAAGCGAGAGGTAGAGAGAGAGAGAGAGAGAGAGAGAGAGAGAGAGAGAGAGAGAAAGATTTGATTTGATTTGATTTGTTTATTTGATACGGACCTCGGGGTAGAACCCCATGTGGCCCACATAGCAGTATACATTATGCAGCTTTTTACAAGCTATTTTCAAAATTTACAGCAGTAGTTTTACAATTGTGCTTATTGTAACAAGATTGTACAATATTTAGTCATTTTTACCGAGTGATGAGGCGTAGATTAAAGATATCTATATACATAAATTCAGTGTTTTGCAAAAATTAACAGTGTGGAACAGTAGGCTCTCATACAGTGTTGTAGATTACAAAAGAATAGTTTGAGTGCGAATGAAATTATTGAGGAACATTTTGACAGCTCTTGACGACGAAAGGGTGCAGGATCCTATGATGCGCTGGTTGGTGATGGATGATGACTAGAAGTGAACGAGCTAGAGAGCGATGGTAGTGCTATAGCAAACGCATTCAGGTTAGCTTCGGTGTTGATTAGGGTGAGTTTGGTGCGATTTTGGCAACGCATGTAAATGCGCATGTTGCGTACTACAGGGTTGGGCAGTCTGTGTTGTTTGCATAAAAGCCAGCATCTCCTCAGTAGCCGATAGCGCTCAGGTGGCAGAATGGGAGCGGCAGAGAGAGAGAGAAAGAGTAGGAGAGATGGAGTTAATCAAGCATTGCTTACTGATTCCATGCTCAAGCGACAGTGAATTAACACGACTATTTTTGAAAGGTAAATTTGAACTTCCCCATCAGCCTTGATCTTTCATAAAGAACGCTCATTTTTCTTCATGAAAAATCTCACGAGCTGAGCAGAAAGAAGGTGGAATATCTTTTATGATTAAAACAACTATCAAAGTCCATGAAGTTCTAGCTCGTACAAGCTCGAAAATAATCCAATAAGAGTCTCGTATCTCTAACAATAAAGCTTCTCCAGGCTTCTAGCTTTTATACGACGTCATCGACGACGAACTCGCATGAAATAGGACTAAGAGCCGGACAAAAAGTAGGAAAGAAATATCAGAACAGTCCCTCGAGTGCAAATTTTTGCCTGCCTCCCACCCTTCATGACGGTGCTTGGTTTAATTTTAAGTATTCAATAAACTTGGCCAGGCTCGCAAACAAAGTTCCTCGAGCTTAGCATCAAGAAAACTGCCCAGCAGTGCTCTCACTCTCTCTAGTTTAACCAACAGTATGTTTAAATTAAATTTTTTTCATGCTCGTCAAGAGGCGACCAGCTGTTTGCGAAATTAAAACGAGCACAAAGGAAGGTTGAGAAGTAGGCTTTGATCTCGAACTACAACGCACTAGCAGTTCAAGCAAGAGTTCGTTTAAATATAAGAAGCGATTAAGCACGGGATAAAACGCGAAATTTCACGCCAATGCGGGAATTCTACAATTTCCTTTCTTTTTTTCAAATAACTCGCGAGTTTTTCGCTACGATTTCTATCAGTCTTTCAGGCATTTTTACGGGAAATGAAGAACCTTTTACAATGGCAAAATGCTTATCACAATGAAAGCGACTAAATGAGATTTTTTTACGATTTAAACTATTTTAATCACATGACTGACTTATATATTCTCATAAAAGGCTCGATGAAACGATATAATAGGTGTTTTAGTACCTTTGAAAAATTTTTCAAATTCAGCCTTTAGAAAAATGTAAGTATAAGTAGCTTAACCTCGAATTAGAGAGTATAAGGTACCTCTGTTTACTCGTGCTGTAATATATAGTTTCGTATTTTAACCACTTGCTGAAAACAATTACACACACTAAATTATGAAAACTTATACACAAGAAAAATTTCATAACTTTTTTGGCTCTTGAGCTAAAGTTTAAATTAATTTCGTGGATTAAATTTTCTATTGTGCTCCAAATAAATGTAAGCTATACTACTGCTAAGTCGTATCGTAGTGAAAAACAATTCTTAAGAAAGAAAGAGAGAGAGAGAGTAAAAGAGAGGGTAGTGGCCCCCTTTCGGGGTTCAGTCATGTTGCCTGGACTGTCAACCGGCGAATAAAGTAGAAAATACGCAGCAGCGAATGTACACGAAGCAGCAGTACTAGAAACTTTTCTGCGGTTTCTTGGACAGCTTCGGCGACTTATTACGAGTCTCTTTGCTCAAGGCACTCTTGGAAATTCTCCCGGGAACTGATGTTGGCACAGGTATACAGAGGTATCCCATGGCAGTGAGAGCAGCAGCCGCGTGACAAGCTGACGCGAGTCGACGCGCCGACAAGAGACGCAACTTTTTTGAGCTTGAAATAATGTGATCGCACCACACGCTATGTTCCCCCTCCCGCAGAATTTATAGTGACGTATAATTAGTCGTCATTCCACGTAAAGGAGCATATTTCATCGCGATAAATTAAGCTTTTATTGGTACTTTTTCTATGTATAAGTTATTTTCTAAATCATTTTTCATAAATGCCCATTGTAGTTCGTTTCATTATATTGTGATTTTTCGAAATTTATTGGTATAGATATTGGTACTTATTGTCAGCTGTAACAACTTACGTCATCTACACATGGTCCAAAATGACCTATAGTTCACTAATAAGTGAATAAATCTAATGGTGTCATACAATCATATTAGATTTCATTAATCGATTAACACTTGTGTGCAAAAAGAAATGAAACTTATTTCAATTTGTTATGACGATCTGACATCTTTTTCGTACTTTATTCGATTTTATAATTAAAAACTAGACGAATTATTCTGAAAATTAATGAGAAAAATCTGTCACATACCTATGCACAATGTCTCTGGAATGCATGTGCTGTAATGCTGCAGCCAATTGACGAGCATAGATCCGTGCGGTCGCTTCGTCTAGTCGACCAGATGGCTGATTTCTCACGTGAGTGCACAAATCACCACCCGTTGCAAGTTCTATGACGAGGTAATATACTCCTCCACACTGTTGCATAATTAAAACGAACAAGACTGCTAAATTGAATATTTTTTACTATTATTAATTTTAAATTTATTTTTGAGACAAAACTGATGTTGTAGATATTTCTATTTTAATTGTACATGCGACAAAAATTTTATAGAGATCTCGTATGACTCATAACGTTGTTCAATAAAAGTTCCATGTTACTCCCTATCGATTTGATCGGCGTTAACAGATTCAATGGAACTAATTGATTTATACGTTGAAGTTGTAAGTAAGTTGATGAAAAGATGAAAAAACCGGGCTAAAGAAAGAAAGAGAATAGCATGTTGGCGTGGAAAACGTAGTTACAAGATTTATACGTTTTACTAAAAGTACGAGCTCCCACGCATAGCTGGGCGCAGACACAAGCTCACACAGACAGACAGATAAATGAATGAATTCGAAAAAATTGCGAGGAAGTGCGGGAGGAAACGAACGAACGAAAAGGAATTAGGGTGATGGGCGGAGTGGAAAACGCGTGTAGCATTCGGGATGCCAACAGCAGCTAGTGGAAAACGAAACGAGCTCTCGCTGAAAGCATTCGACCAATTTGCTCCGAGAACTGCAAGGCAGCTATACGCTGGGCTAGCACGCCAGGCAGCCAACTTTGCGATACATGTGCATGAGCGTATGTACATGAGTATGAGTGCACACGCATTCGAATAGCTTGGCAATAAGTGCCTATATATAGAAACGTTAAACAACAAAATAAACAATTTATAGTCTGTTTCTCTTTGCCAAAGCACGCAGCCACAATTTTGCTATGTAAATTCGTTATAAGTTTTTTTTCCTCAAGTAAATCGAAATTCTTTGACGAATGATCGGTATTTTCGAAAAGTTGCATTCCCATCTCCCCATTTGCCATCCAGGAATATTCAAATTTTATAGACAACACGATTGTTGCGTCTGTGAACCATCATCGTGTTTCGGTTATATAGTAATATTTTTATATTGAAAATGTTACGGCAAATCATACCATAATCATAAATGCTGCGACTGAGTATGAGAAATTTTTTCGAGTCGTCTACATTTCCAGAAATTGTGGCAAAGTCATAAAAACCAGAAGGCTAGCCACAGACATTAACGAGTATAGCGAAATAAAATAAAGTTATTCAAGAGAAAAGCACGAGAGTTTTATATAAAACTGGGGAAAAAAGAAAACAACAACCGAGCTCGACTTTTAGTTTATTTCTTGTACGAATTATATCTTCTCTTATATGAATTGAACCGTGTATATTGTCTCTACAATGTACTTTCGTACCAAAATTTCCTCGCTATTTTATTCAGCAGCAAATAAAAGGTAATATAATTTTTCTACTATTTCTTTTGAATAAAGTGTAAGAGCTATGATGTGGAAATGATACGAGGTACGATTTGAATATCTGCATGAAATTATAAGGGCAGTAAGTGATTTTACCTTTTATTTTCTTTGAAATAATACTTGCTACAAGTTTTTGCATTCAAATCAAAAAATGGGCTAGCAATGAAGATTCTTAAAAAATTATTCATTTTCCTACTTATTATCACTGAGTTTTTGTGACAACTTGCTTTCATCTGTTTATAAAATGCACGTTTACAAGCTAAAGGATGATATAATGAAAGCTAACGATACGACGCATTCATCATTGTACATTGTACTCGTCATTCGTAACGTCGGTAGGAAATGTTCTTTCTGCGCTCGAAGTGAGTCTCGCGAGCTTTGCTAGTGTAGGCACAGAAGCACAGCACCTACAACGAGCAGCATCGCTCGTGCATCCTTTTAATTATACTTTTTTGCTTACCTTGTATATTATTACAGGCTTTGAATTTTTAATTACAAAGTTACTTTTTTACCTTTGCATCCACTGAGAATTGTATTATGAAAAGCTCACGCGGGGTACATGGAAGGTCGAAAAACTATGCGGATTGTCATGCGCACTCATGCACGATTAAAATGACAGCAAAACAAGTGAAAAGTTGCCTGTGCGCGTCGCTGGTAGCTCTGCTGCTCCTTTTCCAATGTGGATTCGCAGAGCAGCGTAAAAACAATGACGGGCGACAAGTTGGACGAGAGGCGCAAGGCACGAAAAAAGTCTCTTTCGCCCAATGCAAATACCTATCGCGAGAGCTTTGAAGGTCTGCTTGCGGACATGCGAGCGCATGCAGAGGTATGCGTGCTCATAAACTGTACGCGCGCACAGAGAAAGAGGGAAAGCGAAGCAGCATTTTTGTCCGCATTTTTTCATCTTACTCACTGACGACCCATGTGTTACATACTCAAAATTGACGTCAAGCTCATTGCTCAAAATTCTAGCTCAACCAAAGCTACTTTTAAAACATACCCTGTCTCAATGTTTGATTTGAATTGCATGCACGCGTCAAGTAGCTTGTTTTGTATCTTCCCCTGAAAAGCTCAACATGTACAAAATACAAACGACTGCACTGAAAATTGTATACATTTCTATTCGTTTAGTTTTCAAGGTATATATCATTTATAGTAGCTGTATTAAACTTGAGTTCTCATTCAGTTCGACCTTCAAGAAATATAAATAACCAAAATTTACCTGAATGGTCTCATATAATTTGACGATATTTTGATGATGCAACATCGAAAGCAATTTGGCCTCTCTGGTCAGATTTTTTATAACGTATTCTTGATTAATTTTATTGGTATCGATGACTTTTACAGCTACCTGAAATGATAATAAAATCAAATTAAATGATGTTTCGAATATGAATTCATCAGAAAAAAGCAGTTTTCGTTTTAATCATTAAATATGCGTTTCACTGAAAATTTCAAGTCCAATGCACTCTCGTGCGATACGTTCGTGCGCGCGTGTACACGTTGACTATATTGAACGAGAAGTTTGAAATTCATTTTTGCATAGTGCAATGCGTTATTATAAAACCGCTGAAAAACGTATCCGTAGAAAGGAAGTCACGCTAACGGCGTGGCTGAGGCACACACTGTTTAATATTTGAAAGTACATGGAGGGGTGGTTTCATTTAAAGCTCGCGAGTACGGCGACATGCGTGGAGTTGGAAAAGCTTCTGCATGCGCACGATAAATACGGGCCACACCAGCGCCCCGTGTATATATATTTACATCAATTCTGCGTGTATTCGTCGCTTCAATTATTTAGCAACACAACATTTTTGTACAGTAAGAGCAATAGCATCGCAGCTTTTGGTATCATTATATTAATAACGAGCGCAACACAAGGAGCTGTCTTTGCTAGATGCCCGCGTGCGTGGCATCGATTAGTAGCATCGCACGCGCACACTGCTATCTTGTGCGTAACGCAGCGTCGAAAGTTCAGCGCTGCCATACACCACGCGAGGAGGTCTTTGAATTACGGCGTGTTTATGCTTTGATGTCGCAATCGCTCTCCCTATGCAAGCGCCAACAACTCCCCTTTGAAGACAATTAATAATTCAGCTCGTTGCGATTAACTTTCAATGAGGACTACGCGGACGTTTCTAGACACAGCACTCGCAAATGTTTCATCAGTGCTTTAAGCTGGCGTTTCCTATACATCATGACGACGGGATGATTTAGATTTTCGTCTGCGTCCGATGTAACTGGACATGCTAATGATTTCTGCAGATACCCCTCTGCGCTACGGATGACATGCCTTATTCATCTTCCATGAATTATGAAGTTCGCATACGTATACGGCTCAAAAGCCAGTTTCGGAATTATACTTACGTATAGGTGTGCGCAGGCTCAGTCTTATACGGTAATACGTTCAATGATGCGAACTTTACGGGGGCCATACTCGCGCCTGGAATACCGTACATATCGCATGATTTAATTGTATTACGTCAAGTGTACATCGAGCAATAAAGCTCGAGACTTGATAACGTCGACTGCAGTTTAGCAGTACTCTGTCGACGGCATATAAGTGGAAAAAATTACTCGTAAAATGTAGAGTATCACAAGTTGAGTTATACGATCGTTTGAAGTGATAACATTTTTTTCGTCCTAAAAATGAAAATTTTAATACCTTTAAAGCTCCCGAACCGAACTCTCATGCGCACGGGCTCGTTTGCACGTAGAAATTAATTGAATAAATACTACAGAATAAACCAACAACATAACTTAAATATCAGCTCAAGGACCGAAAGATCAAACGATTTCCAGTATTTCATTTGAGCCTGGTCATAGTAATAAGTGTGAAAAAAGTCTTGTTTTTGCATCTTTCATTAAAAATATACTATGAATATAAATTTCCAAACAAATTTAGAGACACATTCTTAGAAAGAAAAGAACTTCGTCCGTTACTAGTACATAATTATTTCAATCGGAATATGTTGTTTTTATTTTGTGAATTGTAAATATAGTTTATATTTGCATGTATTCTAAAATGAATCCATGTTAATTTGCAAACTGTAATATCAATTTTTTTAAATTTTAGGTGGAGTGGACATATAAGACTCATATTATTGCGAAAGTATTATAATTGATAAATTTTGATATTGTGAAGAAAGCTGTAGAACCACGCCTGCACTAGCTTGAGTCAGATAAGGATTTCGGCATATATGATGAAAATGAGCTATAAGATGCTAGAAAAATGGAAGGTAGAATGTATAATGATTGCTCGACGTTTTGTTCTCTCTTTTCTAGATGAGGACAGAAAATCCATTAAATTAATGCAGTTCGTGCGATTGATATCCGTAAAAGCTAGAACACAGTGTAGCAAATATACTAATCTTTTATTGTGTATGAGGAGTGTCTCCTGCACTTGATAAAAATGACATTATTATTATGTGTTTATATCTAGCAATATTAAAATTCTTGTGTGCGTGCTCAAATATATTATATACACAAAGAGGAAATATGTACTTCTGACATCATTGTTTCAAATGATACATGAAAGTTCAATTTAAAGTACATAAATTTAACATGATAAATGAGCATAATTAAGTACAACTACCGATGAAAATTTTTTATTTTCATTCGATCATAAAATAATGATATTTATTTATTTGATTAAGATTTTTATTGATAAGAAAGTTGTCAAGTGGCAAAATTTAGAAAGCTACCAAAAAAATTAAAAAGATATTCCACGGTGACTGCCTACTTTTCTGTGCCCAAATTCAGCCCTTTTAGAGCTGTTTGATCTGTTATCCACACGTGAAAACAATTTTTGTAGATTGTGCGATCCACACGATATTATTGTGTCGAAAGATTAACTCATCATTCTGATGGGAAATTGCCTCCGATTTCTGACGGTGAAGTCAGATTTCCCGAAATTTCCCGTCTCCTCGGGAAAAGGAACAGCTCGGGAAATTCAGCTTGAAATTATTTTTAAGTGGTTTCGATAGAATTTACAGAAATATAGAGAGAAAAAGATAAACATTTGAACAAATGATATAAAAGCTCGTGAAAAATTAAATAAGTATATTATGACTACTCTGATAAAGGAGTTAGAAAAAATCGTTTATGCAATAGTATGACGAAAAATGTCTTTTTTCGCACATTTTTTAGTGCGCAAAAAGCGTTTTTGGACACTTATGTGCGGTAAAATGCCCCATTTTGGACACGGGTGTGCGGTAAAACGCCTCATTTAAATGAACGTATTTTTCGCCTACTATTGCATAAAATTTTGTATGCAACACGTGCCCAGCTTTTTGCGCACAGTGTGCGGAAAAAACACCCACTCGTGCCGGCATAGCCGGCACTCGTGTCTTTTTCCGCACACTCGTGCCCAAAAACGCCTTTTGGGCACTTGTTACATAAATAACTATTAATGCGTTATTTTATACACAGTTAATAATCTGATATTATTATTCTCTGCTTCATAAAAAAGTCTGCCATAAAATTGAGCATTTTCAAGGATCCCAGAAACTTAAGTTTTAAACGTTAGAATGATTCAATGAATGCAAACGAGATATCGCATGATAAATATTATTACGCAGTAATTGAAATAGAGTTTTCCAATAGCTATACATTTGATTTTCAATATTCCATTTGAATTTCTCTTCGGTGGCTGCAATCCACGCATATTAAACTTTATGATTATCAATTTTGTCAATGAACGTGCTCTGTTATCACACAGTATTTCTATTGTGCGAAACATTGAAGATATAATATATACATTATTAGTAATGTGAAACTATACTAAATGGGGCTTATCAAAAACATGAAAAGGATATCTGGTAGTTTCATGAGTAACTATAGCTACTTCGTTTTATAATTATGCTTAGGGGGGAAAACAATATCTTTTTCCAAGATTTTGCCAACGTGAGTCACCGATTTGGATGCGCATTTAGTATAGTCAAGCATATATTGCTGGTGGTGTGATGTCGAGCTTAGACATTTTTCATGTTTTTTTCTAGCATTGGAATGCATACTCACGAGTAGTCATTAATTGGTTTATATTGAATAGTTGCTGATCGGTACGATTCGAAGAAATCACTGACTCCTTTCGAGCACAAATATACATAATGTAGAATGTACTTATCACGACACAATTGAATAAAGTAATATGTACGATATCTTATTGATGAGGTCTTAATTTACCATGGTAACTTTTCCTGTTCGCGTAAATTTTCTTTGAATACCGATTTTTTTTAATGCAATTTAGATTTAATGAGTCAAAAAAAAAAAAAAAATGAATTACATATCGATTTCAACTAGAGAAATTGCTTTTGTTTGACCATATGAATTCATGTTCACATAAAGAAAAAAAAATATATGATATTGATCTGAAATTCAGGTAATCATACGTAAGAAAATATATTTTTGAAAGGAGAAGACCAGTAACAAAAAGATAGGGGCTGAGGCAAATAACGATAGTTTTCGGTTATCTTTAAAGTTTTCCTAACTTGTTTTCGATGTCACGAAATTGTCTTATCTCCCCTGATTGATAATGCAAAGTTTTGTCGAGTTATAAAATGCGCGATGCCCAAGAGTCAATGTGTGGTGATACCCTATGATTTTTATCGAGATATATACAATCTTATGCAATTATTTTATCTGCATTTATGTTTGCATTGCTCTGAGAAAATAGATTTATATAATATGCGAGATAGCACATGTAGTTGAATTTCATCGTTGCAAAAATAAACACTGATACCTTACGGCAAACCACATTTTTTTATGATTGTAAGTTCTTGGAAAAAAAATATTGAAACACGATTATTTGTGTTTTAATGTATAAAGCAGTACTCGCTGAGACATTACACGATTATTTTCATGTCAAAAAAATGAACAATCGAAATCTTGAGTCTCGCATTAAATTTATTATCTCAAAAAAATATGTGTCCTGCGTCACGTTTGTAATGTTTCCTTGTAAGTGCAGCGAGTATTGAACTTTGCACCTGGTATACGTGGTCTTATGCGCATTGCGACCAGTTTTGAGTGAGATATCGTATAACCTACATATACAGTTATTACTCTTTGCAGCTGGCTGTGCACATGTCTCGCTTGGGTACGCGGCAATGATGATCCGCGGTAACAGTCACGCGTTTAGTTTCTGTATGTTTTGTAGCTCGCGCGCGCTCTACATTCGAGAACTGACAAAGTTCAGCCTCCTCTACGCTAGTAACGGAGAGCGGCTATTAAAGCTTCTGCACCAACTCTCTCTTCAACTACTGCCACTGTGTTTACATCGCTGCGTATGTGTGTATATAATGATGGCGTTTCAATCAGAAAGTTTTTAATTAAAAAGCCTGCTAAACGATGCTG